TATGGCCACACCACAGCGTTCAGCAATGAGGTCGACGGATAGAAATCGGCTAGCTTTTCAGTGAGGAAAGTGCCCAGTCCAGAGCCTGTGCCTCCTGCTGCGCTCTGCAGCGTGAGAAATCCTTTCAGCAGGTCACAACGCTCCGCTTCCTTGTAACAGAGAACAACAAAGAGCACGGCCAATAAGTTGATCTAGTTGCAAAGCTAAAATAAACAGCTCAATTGCAAGACGGGAATTGCCCACGCACCGACTGGAGCAGATCCAGTAGCTCAGTTTCCACCTGTGTGCCCTGCGTCCGGTATCCGCTGGCCCAATTGTTACCCGAACCGCTCTGCCTTGTGAACGAGTTCTTGGGATCGTATTCCCATGCTGCAGTTGCTTTCCTGTTATTCAATGGCTTGTAGCACTGCTGGATAACCTTTGGCTCCATGTCAATGAGCACCGCACGGGCTCTTCGCGTGTTGACAGACCGGTGGTTGCAAAAGTCCTCTGGCGAGCGGAAGAAGACAGAGTCGCTTAAGCTGGCCGCGTCCTCCTCCTCCGCTAGCTTGTCGAACAGCGCGCGACCGAGCTGGTTCCCGCATTGCCCTACTTGCAACGCGAGCATCTTTTTGCAGAATACTTTGCCAGATACTGCAACTCTGCACAAGTGGATTCTCTTGTCGCACTTAGTCGAAATATGCTAAGTACGATTGTAAAAATCCGGGCGAAAGGGAGCAGCATTTCGAGCGGCTCGATACTAAGTACGATTGTAAAAATCCGGGCTAATAGGGGGCATTTCGAGCGACTCGTTGTGGTGAGCACGCATCATGTACAACGGGATCGGGCTGCGCACGGTGCGCGGCTCCGGCACGAATGGCTACGTGCAGCGGAACCTCAGCTACGTGAACGCGTCGCGCACGCGGCAGACTCTAGCGCGCAACCAGCGCGGGGGATCATCGGGGGATTTTGTCTCCCGAGGGGGCGGCAGGAACCGTCCGCCGCCCAATCCAGACATCCTGCTGCACGAGCAGAAGCGGAAGGTGGAGCTGCAGCTGCTGGAAATGTCACTGGAGATGGAAGACCGTGGTTGCGATCCTGACGAGATCCAGGACAAGGTTAAGCGAGAACGTGAGCGACTGCTGGCACGCTTGAATGACGCTGGAGACAGAGGACGCGAGAGCGCCAAGGACTCGGAGAGCACTCACGCTCGGCAAAAGCGCAAGGAGGAGGACAACAAACGGATCAAAGACGCGTTCGATATCGCCACGGACTACGTGGCTGGTGAGAGCTTCGACCCGGAGATGCAGGAACGACGTCGCCAGGAGAGGAAGGAGAAGAGAGAGCAGGAGTGGAAACAAAGGGAGGAAGCGCGGCAGCAGAGACTTAAAGAGAGAGAGGAGAGGGAAAAGACGATGAGGGCGAGGCGTGAGCGCTTCCGCTCTTCTCATTCCAGATCAAGGTCGAGATCGGCCTCACGCTCGCGTCGATCGAGATCTCCTGGGGATGGTCGCAGCCGTGATCGACGTAGTCGAGGCCGTGATAGTGTCAAGGCAAATCGTGACTCGAAAGCTAGTCCGCGGTCTGCAGTAAAAGAACGGCCCTCTCGTCGGTTGTCGTCGGCTTCCGAACGGAAGCGCCGTTCAGTATCCTCGTCCAGTTCTGGATCGTCACGCAGCAGGAGTTCCAGCGCGTCCAGCCGTTCTCGCTCTCGTTCACGCGGCCGGAAAGCACGAAAGGGAAAGAATAGCGAGAAGGATTCGACAGCCAG